CTTAAATGCTTCCCCTCAAATTTGCAGGACAGGACATGTTCAATTAGGATTGGGACCTGTGGCTCATCATCTATTAATATTTCTTGAGGGATTCCACAAGGATCGATTCTTGGTCCAACTCTTTTCATTGTATATGTTGCCCCTGGAGTTAATTCTTAAGAATTATGGAGTTAGTTATAATTTTGATGGCCTACAATTGTATCTTTCCATAGAGTATGATGACTGTTCATCTGTCTCCTATTTGACAAGTGTTTGACTGAAGTCTGTAGTAACAAATGTAACAATCTATAAAACTGAAGTTCTGCTCGTGCAGTGGTGAAAACAATGCTGTATTTGTACACATGCGTACCGAACCAAAAGACCCTTACCGAACATTTTCAGTACGAATAAGTATACCGTTGCACCCCTAGTAAATAGTCAAAATTATTTATATGTTTTGACTGAACAGTTGTTGCATGTGCATCATGATAAAACTTGTCTTTAATATAACTAGTTGCATTTGCATTTTACAGTGCAGTTTATTTGTTATTAAATAAACTTACATTTAGCCAAATTTGCCCCCTCATTGAAGTCCTCAGTTGACCAGCACTCATAGTATCAGCACACCATCAGTTCTCCAAAAGAAACAGTTCGGTTCAGTCAGTGCTAGCTTCACGCATGCTCGTATCTCCAGCTCATCAGTTGAACGTGTCCGTAAGACAGTTCTCCGTTTAGTGTTCTGGGGATTCGAAAACGGCTGCAACCGGTTCTTGAATCGAGATCCGCTGTTGCAGTACGTGAAGTCTGCTGAGCTGAGAACTGCTGCAACTTGAATATACAGTCAACAAAACTACAAATTTGAAGCATATCTCCAGTATGTTTAATAGGTTTCTACTGATTAACACATAAACATTTACTTTGCACCAATAAAACCTTGGCAAAAGTTTACGTCAAGATTTAGATCAAATCATTTAGATTTTAAATAAGCTGTTTCTGAAAATATCATGCTGTCAGACTCTGTTCCGTGTCTGTGTGTGTTTTCTTCCCCCACGTGCTCCAGGTTATGTTTATTTCCTTATTTGGTCTTCTTGTTCCTGTCCTGATTGTGTTATCATTTGTTCCAGGTGTTCCCCATTCTGTTCCATTGTTCCCAGGTGTGTTCCATTAGTTTCAGTGTATTTAAAGTGTTTCTGCCCCTCGTAAATCCCTGTGTCCTACGTGCGATTCCTGTGGTGTCAATGTCAATAAAGACTGTGTATCCTGATTCTCCAGCGTTCTCCTCGTTCCTTGTTCCTCGCTCCTTGTCCCTCGCACCTCACTGTAGGTGCACCGTGACAGAATACCGGACCTAAACAGAAAGTAAGCTGCACCACTTCTCCCCATTTTGTTTCCGTTTATGAAAGTCTTTTGTTTTCTTGTTTTTTCCCCCGCGATCATGGAAATCGGCGTTCGTTTCTCCGCCTTAGCCCGCAGAGATCTCCCCTTCTTTAAGTGCGCCTGGGATTTCTGTGGGCTCGCCGCGGCGACGGCATTGGATGACGCCACCATCAATTCTCTGTTCTAGCTCGGGGCCAACTACCATTGCCCCATGGACCTCCCAGACACCAAGGGACTATGCTGAAGGGAAGGGATCTACCGGTGTCTGGGGAGTGTCCGGGCCAGAACCAGCCCCGCCGGCCGTTCCTCAGTCAAGTTCATGGGCCGCCGCTCGCTCAAGCCCACCGGAATCTCTGCTGTCAAGCCCGCCGGCTGCGGCGCTCTCCAGCCCACCGGCCGCGGCTCACTCAAGCCCGCCGATCACTCCTTTCACCCCAAACCTAAAGGGGAATCTAAGGAGGAGAAGGCGGTCGGCTCCAGCCCCAGAACTCGCTCCAGTGTCGGCTCCAGTCCCCGAGTCTGCTCCAGTGTCAGCTCCAGCCCCTGAGTTCACTCCAGTGCCAGCTCCTCGAAAGCGCCTTGCTGTGCCTGCTCCTCCAGAGCACCCTCCAGTGCCAGCTTCTCGTAAGCGCTGCCCAGTCCCCGAATCCAGCCCAGAGTGGGCTCCTATTCCCGAGTTTAGCCCAGTGAGGGCTCCAGTCCCCGAGTTTAGCCCAGGAAAGGCTCCAGGACCAAACAAAGTAGTTTCGCTTTCACAACGAAAAACACAGCGGCCTAGCGTGAGCGGAAGCCCCGGCTTAGTGTGAGCTGAGGCCGGGCTAGAGTGAGCCGAGGCCGGGCTAGAGTGAGCTGAGGCCGGACTAGCGTGAGCTGAAGCCGCAGCTTAGTGTGAGCTGAGGCCGGGCTAGAGTGAGCAGAGGTGAGAACGCCGCGCCCGGCGGATCCGACGAAGGAGCGGTAACCACATGTGACGACCCCGGGCTGGACTCTGCTTCGTCCACGGTGAAAGCCGATCCGGCGATCCACAGCACTAAGCTGATGTATTCCCTCAGCGACCAGCACAGATCAGCTCCAGGCATGATGAAGCGGATATCGTCCTCTTTTGGGAACCCAGTGTGCCTGTAGTTTTCTCTATTTCTGTTTTATCACGTGATGGAAAGTCTAAGGCCTTCTTAAGCCGTACGGCTGACTGATCTAATCTGCAGCCTGTTATGCATCAAGCTAATATTGCTGTTGAGACAAAATGCAATGCCATCAAGTTAGCATTTTTAAACATTCGCTCACTAAAAAATAAATCATTTCTAATCAATGACTTAATAACCACAAACAACCTGGATTTTATGTTTCTAAATGAAACATGGCTAGAAGACAGCTGCAGTGCAACGGTCCTCAATGAAACAGCCCCTCCTAACTTCACTTTCATGAGTGTTTGCAGGACTGTTAGGAGAGGTGGAGGTGTAGCTGCTCTAATTAAAGATGTCTATCAATGCAAGCGTCATTTGGCCAGTACTTGTCTTTTGAATATCTAGTGATTGTGTTGAAAGGTGCTCCACGCATTCTGTTTATCATTATTTAC